AGCAACAATTAAACAAGATATGGGATGTTGCCCAACCGAGTTGGTATACGGAACTACTCTACGGTTACCCGGGGAATTTTTCACTTCGAATAAATGTGTTCCGACTGATGTAGCCAACTACGTACAACGCTTGAAAAAGCACATGAGCGATTTAAAAGCAACACCACCCAGACCGCAACAACGACAGGTATTCATACCGCAGGAGCTACACAAAAGTACTCATGTATTTATTAGAAGAGATAAAGTACAACCACCCCTGCAACCGAATTACGACGGTCCGTTTAAAGTGACAGCGAGGACAGATAAAACGATTACCATAGAAAAAGCTGGGAAAACAGATGTAATCAGCATCGATAGAGTAAAACCAGCTTTCATCGATAGTGATAATCAGTCAACAAGTACAAAATCTTCGAAGATTGTCGCACCAATGAAACATGAATCTCACGAATCAACGACGCTAACGCAGCAAAAAGACGAGGCTCCAATAACAACAAGATCTGGCCGCAGAGTAAGATGGCCTCAACACGACATCGCTACAATTTTCTATTGATAATTTACTATTATTTTGAATATTAATTATAACTCTTCCTCTTCATTGTATACATATAGATTACTAAGCTTATACTATACACTATAAAACTAGGCATATATTATGTACCCTAGACTTACATTAAAAAAAAACGATAACACATTCCTTCTATTCCCTACTATTATTTTATATAGCCTCACGGACAAGCACCAATCACATACACAGCACACTTAGCTTCATCCTAATTTTGTATAAGCACTTTCTCCAAACACTTGTAACTACTCTATTTAGTTTACTATTTTTTGTGCAAACACAGACATATTTTCTATATATCTTTGTTTGCAGGGGGGGAGCTATTATAGCAATTTACGTTCAATTGAGTTTGTCTTCATCTAATTCGTTTAAGCCCTTCTGTTAACCTATTAAACGGACAAGGTTATCTGTACTTTAACAACTTATTCTACCTTTATTACTGTTATGCTTGTATGAATAAACATGCTTGAACATTGTTGACTGCCCACGCATATATTCATCCCACTAACCTTATTATTATTCGCTTAATCGATTCGATAGTACATTCATTTTGCTATATATATACATGTATATTTAACACTCTACACATTTTCGACACATTCTCACACATTCCCACACATTCTCGGTTTGCTGACTCATTCGCCTCTCTGCTCTGTGGTTTGAGTTGCCTGCTAATAAAACTGTAGTAGCTGCTTCTCTTTGCCTTCTGATTTCAACTACCGTTGGGGTTTATACGATAACGGTTACAAGGGTGATTGGTCAACGAAGCACAGCCACTACAAACCATCCAGCTAATAGAACAAAACTCCATCATAATCAGAGTATACATGGAAGTTTTGTATGATAACCTTAAATAACATTTTTGCAACTGAAATTATAAAATATATAAATAACCATATTTTTTATAAATTAGGTCTAAATTCATCATATCTATCCATAAAGTTTATTTAAATGCAGTAATTAAAGCAACTGAAATTAACATAAAAGTTAACAGGTTTGAAAGCTGGAACACTAAAAATCATGACAATGGAACTTCAACAGAAATCAATTGTGAATAAATTGTAAAGAGATTTGTTTGATATAATAGATATATGAACATTCTATGAAGAATCAACATTTTTTTTATAAAGAAATTCAATGTGTAGAGACTGTCTCTTATTTTGTTTGCGTTCGCACTTTCATATTATGCTATACAGAGTTATTTGAGATCTATTAATTGAACCTGGTATTATCCATGTCTCACTCATGGACTTTATTTACAGCAATGAACTACATAATCGATCTAATCGTGCATTTACTTCCATGATTCAGTCTCTTGTATTTTTTTTTCGACTTGTAACCGTGTTTCTACCATCTTCTAAGGGATAATAATCTCAATAAAGATTTTGTGTGACTTCATTTTTAGCATATTTGTAGTGTCTGTCATTATGTTAAGCCCAAATACCTTATTATTCTAACTTTCGGACAGCCCATTCTATTCATTCTATTTGAGTCACATTCTGACCTTATCAATATCTTGACTGTATTTGTATGAGCGCGTAGGCGTATGTACACTTCTTATCCCGTTACTCATCACATGTCTGTAATTTATTTTTATGGGCTTATAAATATTGATTAACTCTTTGTTAAGGGGGAGTTGGCTTACCAGCCATCTCCACCGCGCGCCAATTTAGCTTCGCTTTCTAATCTTCGCATCGTTCCTCCGTTCGTTTGTCTAATCAACAATTATACAAAATATATGCATTCAAAACTCCATTCTCGTTATTTGACTTATTTAATTCCGTTATTAACTTACGCGATTTAAGTCAAAATATTGTTGTGACTTTTAGACCGCTTAATTATCACGTGACTTATTCACCAATTGGAATACGACTTATACAATCCTAGTACTGTGTCAAACCAATGACCTTCGACCGGTATGAGCAGACTAGAGTCCATCTTGGTGCTTTTTCATGCCTAACTGTATCAGTTCAGTCCAGAACACCAATACCAACTTTCACTATAAGAATCGTTTATTTCAAACATACCAGGTTTATATACAAGCTAAACAGACCACATCACATCATAAAACAGGAAGTAATATGTGTACAAGATCAAGCCAAAAGGTGTCTGTGGACGTGGGAGAATGTAATTAATAAATAACAGTAAATCGTATAATAATAGTCTATAAGTCGAAATAAAGCTTATAATAAAAGGAATATAGATATACACAATCTAGTTACTGTATAGTTATATAATAAAAATAATATTAGTCCATTAATAGGTCTCAGAAGTAACCCGTAGTTTAATCTTCATTAGGAACTAATTAAAATCTGTTATTCAAATATTTCTTTGAAATTCGTGTTTTAATAAATGGTGGTTAAGTTGAAAATGATACCACTTTAAATGTAGTCAATTACTTGTGTGTGTATATATGTGTATGTAAGAGATTAGCTCAATGTAAATAGGTATCTAATTTTCAATTAATAAAATAATTGGATCATTTTCTGTTTTAGGAGAGGTAATGATGTAATAGATTGTGTTCGATTTGTTACAAGAAATGTGAATACAGCTCATAATATCGAATTGATGTTTATGGACTAACTTGATATACATCGACATGACGTAATCAAATGTATTCTAGGTTATAAGTCAATAGAATATATGAGTTAAATGCATTCAAACATTCCCTCTCACCAATAATTACAAATTTATTTGGTTTGATTGGTAAGACAATGTATATATGTACATATTTAAATTCTGTGCACTCATAAAGGATTATAGCTTGAAAATAGTAAGTTAATTGCAGACCTTTAATTGACAGTCTGGACAACATCTTCAGTGCCTATTTCATGTAGAAGTGAGCCTTCCAGTTATTCCATAAGTGTTATATCAGTGCGTTCTGATGACATACTCTGACAGACTGTCTTTGTAGGTTTTATTGTATTCATTTGTCCCTGTAATAATGTTAACTGTCTTTTAATATTTGATCCATATGACCTAGTTTCCTGTATATTTGTGTTTCCAAAGATCCCGTGTTTATTCTGTTGACTAAAACGTTCAAGAATAAGAGTTTGTTTTCTCTTGTGAATTTGACGTCATCGAAAATCTTGATGATCAACTTATGAGTACTTTCGTGCACATCTATCTCCATGATAACGAACGCGTCATCTGCATAACGCATCCGAATCTTCAGGTTGATTACCGATGGAGCTATAATCTCGTGCTTTTGCATCATAGCTTTTGAAACTAGTCTTGATATGGGAGATCACGTTACAGTTACTCTGTGCAGCCTGTAAATCAGACTGTTAAGCAGGTTACATGTTATTAGACACAGGTTTGTGAGTTTTTCGCGCCTGTACATCATATTTGTGCATGTCTTGTGAGTTGTTCGGTGTTGCTGAACAAAAGAACTGAAATATAATCTTCTATATCAAGGCTGATCTCAGGAGCTGTGATGCATCATGTGCTTGTAGCGTGGTGTCAAGTCGCGTTTGACTATGAACACTGCTACAAGAAGACTACGTGCCAGTTAACCAATAAGATCCCCGTAGGCCAACATCAGAAGGCAGATGATGGCTGTAGTCGAGATGTATTTGTTGGCTATCTCGTGGTATCGAAAGAATACCGAGATCGTGCCAAAGGAGTACAAGCGTAGGTGCTAAGCGTAATCGAATTCGTACAAGTTCAAAGTCAACGGGAGAGTGTGTGTAATGACTGTCATTAGCATAGTTAAACAAACGATCACAGTAAAACAATCACTGGTACAATTGGTTATAATAATGATTGTTTTCACTGAACCAATCGCGTTCTGTTGACAAAAGTATGTCACTACATGCTTCACACCAAATAAATTCAAAGCATATTGAATCTATTCTAGAAAAATACATTATTGAACCATATATTTCTATTAGATCATCATCAAGCTTCACTCTTGTATACAGTAATATGTTCATGTGCATATGTGAAAATATTGAAACACTTAAGACAATTTGAGAATTAGTGAGCTTTGCATATATAAGAAACCATTAATGTATGAAACTGTCCTAGAACAAGCGATGATCAATTATCTGTCATGAAGAATTCAAATGTAATTATGACTGTCATATATACATTAGTATAAAGGGGTTCACTTGTATTCTCAGTAGAAGGAAATGATTCAATCCAGGGAAGTTAGAGATATTTGGTTATGAACGGATAAATTCAAAATCAAAAGGCAAGCTATGGTCTATTTTTCGAATAATAATAATTTCACTCATCTGATAAAACTCTATGAACCGTATTAAGATCAGATATGTTTGATTAAATAAATAGGGATGACTGCTCTCTATGTATGTTTTCTTTCCTAATGTAAATTACACTGAATAGGACTTTAAAAAATCTTACGGGTTTTCTTTTATCAATGACTTACTGTCCAATTTAATGAAATTATAATCCCTACATTCTGTTCAGACAGGTAATGAATAAAAAGTCATTAAATCAAACCCAAATAGGGTACGAACGAACACCTGAATTCAAAATTCCAAACAACACCTTGCCTATGTATTCAACTTCGCTTCACTCATCGAATTCAGGTAAATGCAGTGAACTCTGCCAGTACGACACACCAAACATATCACTTAATTTGGCTACTTTATCGCTAGAAGATTATGACAAAACTGCAATAACTGATATCTCGACAATAAGAAATCGATATTCTCGAAAAAGCTTACTTTGCGAATTACCTGTCTCCGATTGTTCACAAAGAAGGAATTCGTATGTAGAATGTTGTCACAATGATTTTATTAGTGATGATCATTGGCGGATTGTACGCTATTATTTTGTTGAATCTAAACGTTTACAAATGAATAAAAAAGCTTATTTAGATGGTGGAATGAATCATTCCACCAGCATATATCGTATTTATATTGATGAAAACGGTAATAAATATTCCTTATTTTAATCAGTTGTATCATTTTCGAACAATTGATTTGTATGAAATTTGATGGTAGTTTTATTTTGAACATTATTTGTCATATATCTAATGTATTTTCAAAATGGCTTTTATGAAATAAACACACTTAACTTCTTAGTCTTTTTGAAAGTAACTGTAATTTTAATTTTGCATAGACGAAGGTCATTTTGTAGGACCGTTGTGAAGTTTATGTGAAATGGTACATGTATTTTGTTAAACTGAAATATCATTACAAACTCGTCGTGTTCCAAGTCAAATAGGATTTCTATATCTGAAGTGGCCTGCTCGAATATTTGAGCTACCTGTTCCTTCCATCTAGATATTTCAACAAGTTATATGTTTCCTTGTTTGTTTTAACAGATCATCATGTTCATTAATTGCATAATATATTCAGGTGTGTTTGTGAATAGTTTATGGCCTTCTGCTGTATAAGTTACAAAAATTTACAATCGGAGACATCGTAATAGCTAGCAATGTGCACTGAAAAAAATGAACATTATTCAGGTATCAATTTCTGAACTGATAACATCTAAACTGGTGATCACTTAATATTTACCGTCAATATCGATCACGAAATAAGAAACGGAAACTCACTGAAATAATTTGTGCGGTGAATTCTATATCGTACCAAAATTATAATATTGAATAAAGCTAATAATAGTAATGATAAAAGATATCATTAACAAGGTTTGACTTGATTATTTCGAATAAGTTGAGCATTGGGTAGATTGTTGATAATAATAATAATAATTTCAGAAAAGTAGCTATAATATTTAACTATTTGTACTGATAACATCACTAAAACATCTTTTTCTAAATGACTGAAGCTTCGGTTTTGAATAATCTTCGGGTTTGGATCATGAAAAGCATCGTTGAAGAAGTTGTGCTTTGATATTTTTGTTGTTTAGGAGTTTGCCTTACTATCAATTTTCTTTAATGTTTTATCGTATATTACTTTTTATTAACAAGTAGTTAAATAAACTGTTCTTGCTTTTAATGATGACTTGAATCATCGTATTTTGTGAATAATCCCATAGACTAATAAACTATTTGCTCACTTGAAGCTAAATTAGAAAGCAACAATGTTACATTGTATGGCGAAGTGAACTGCCTTCTTGTTATCAAATTATTTCTCCGATTTAAAATCTTGTTAACTTGTCGACTTAAGAAGTCTATTTATTTAAATATCACATTCAGCATATGAACTGAATCATTGTTCTCATGTTTGACTGAAAACTTACATATTAAATATAAAGTCTAGTTTGAATGTGAATCTATTTAACATCTTTCTATGTAAGAGTTCTTTAAAGAAATGTGCAGTTTAATAAAATTATATAGATTTATGTAAGAAACAAATGAAATAGGTAAGTAGTACAACTATGATGCATAAATCCAAAGCTAAATATCACGTCTCTTTGACATTGATGATTTTTCAACACAGCAAGAAAACAAATAGATTTATTCAAATGCTCAGAAGATGAGATAAAAATCCAGTGATAATAATAAATATATAAAGAGAATAACTAGAGTCAATAGTCCGAATGAAAAATAGTTTTTTAGCATAGGTTATTTCATAAAAACTTCTGAGATCTGAGTATTTCATAGAGAAACATTTATCATTCAAATTCATTCACAGTATTTATGAAAGTTGAACTCTTTCAGAGACATGGAACTATGTCATAGGATTCGTACGTCTAAAAAATTCCATACGACGATAAAACACATGTCTAGTGCTGCATAATCTCCAGTGATTATCTAACTAAATTCAGTCGGTGGAGTAAAATTGGGAAAAAAGAATCACAGTTAACTATACATCTGAAGGTAATTCTCCATATCGATTATCGGTTAATTCCTCATAAGTTAGATATAATAAAGCTAATGATGAAACATTATTCGATCAATTATGTTTGAAGAGACTTATTTAATTTAAAATTGATCCTTATTTAATGGATTGGTTCTCCATTTAACATCATTTTCGTCGTGAATATCGTACTTGAACCGAATAAGAATCTTATTATATCCATTGTATGACATATATTCTTTTTAAGTGGTTTAAACAAATTTAATAAGAAATATTTTGAAATTATCAAAGAACAGATAAAAAGAAGCGATTATCAAATGAAACTATAAGTGATTAAATACACTGATCGATTTAGCTTATATCTGAGTGGCTTGGTTCAAGATTTTTCTTTTAGAAAAAGAAAAGAAATATGTTGATAAATAGCTCTGTTTTACGAAATTTTGTCGATAATGGTTGTTTGATAGGTGAAACTAAAGCCTTCCTGGTAGTTTGTTATATTCTATTCTATTTTGCAATCAGTTTCATACTCATCTCTCATCCACAATGAAAGCTATGGAAATTCTAGATAACAACCTTAGTATTTGTTTTTAAAAGAAGTTTGTTTTTCTTTTATTCACCTGATATCGAGGGACAAGCTTGCCGAAAATTTTATTAGTTTTGACCCTCTATCATTTTAATGCACTTCTTTATTACTTGTGGATCCATATCTTGATCGTTTACATACTTCACTCTTTATTACTGGATACTTTTAGATGGTCATTATTCTCAATAAACTCTACTACTACTATTACTCACAATACTATTACTACCACTAATAATGTTTTCTGACTTTTCTCAAAGGACAGATAGACAAATAGTTGATGGTTCCTAGTTTTTAAGTGCCTAAATTATACCTTGTTTTCATCAACGCTCTCGTAATGACTGATTATTAGTTTTTATTTTAACTTCCATTTATGTTTTTTTACCATGGATCTGTCAAACAGGCATACGATTGTAATACTTTTGTGCAAGAAATGAACTTCATTTTGTGAAATTCCAGACTTTCATTATGGATTATATTCATTTATTGATTGATCCAAAAATATAGTTTATTTTATCTACTCAGATTTTTATGAAAATGCTTGATATTGATGCAATTTCTGATTGATAATTAGATAGACAATGTTAACTTTTTTTCACAACTATAAATATAACTGAACTGTCTCAGAAAAATATATAGTTTAAAGAAAGCATTATTTTACTTCTTTTAAATAGTTTTTTCTGAATTTACTTGGTGTCGTTTGCTTGTATCTCCCCATTGCTGTTTAGGACTGCAAATGATCAGTCTCATGTTGGCATATGTGCATCCTGTGCGGATTGCGTAGATATTGCCTGAAGTCACAAGCTTTATAACCAAAAATGGGTAGTGGCTAGCAGTGGAATCCAGGACGCGAGTTTCGTCCGAATTTGGGACTCATCAGCTGGACATACCTGCATTTCAGAGTTGATGTTTACTCTAGGACTCAAGCTCATTACTGTTAGTCTTAAACGCCATCGCGTTATCCACTTAGCTACTGAGTCTTGATAGCCACTTGCTTGTGAAGTGGAGTGAAGTTTAAATTCACTTGGTATTGTTTACTTGTATCTTCCGATTGTTGTTTAGGACTACAATTGAGTTGTTAAAAAATTTTCAAATGGCTGTGATTAAACGGTTCATGTTAATTGTTTAGAGATAACTGCTATGAAGTATAAGGTTTTAAGTTACATGCTGCCAGAGTTTTAACATGAAGTCGTATTTAGAATCTTGAAGAAATTCATAAACCCCGTGGGATTCAGACTCGTATCAACCAAAATTATTCAGTTCATAGATTTTACCACTGAGTTATTTATATTCTGGGATCGTAGTGTTCAAATTCGTTCATCACTTAATAATAAGGAATCTCATGATGTCTATTTCTTAGTTGTAATGAAATTTATTTCCCTTATACACCTCCGAATTCCTACAAAATAACTTAATTGAATATTTATTAAAAAGTCAACAGAAATTCTGATGAAAAAGAAACATCACAAGTGTTTATCATGTTTTGTGATTGAATTCATTATAATTTCAATAGTTGAGATCATGAGTCAATTGAGGCTATACCATCATGGAAAACCTGGAAGCACTGGGCGGCTGTTTCGTCCTATTGTGGGACTCATCTGCAGTGCACATCCACTACCCCGCCTCGCGGGATTCAAACCCAGGACCTATCAATCTCGCGCCAGGAGCTTAACCAACTAGACCACTGAACCGGCGTCCAATGGTGTTAATGTGTAACTTCAACCAATCCACGAAATTGAGCGACACATCCATCATTGTCATTAGTGAATTGCTATCTCACAACTGACCCGGTTGAACCCCACTAGTCACTGCTTCTCACTAGCACTACTGAGGAGTCCCACAATAGGACGAAACAGCCGTCCAGTTCTTCCAGATTTTCCATGGTGGTCTAGCTTCAAATGACTCATGATCAATTATTGAAATTACTACAATCTTCACAAAACCCCTTCTGATCCGAATTCATTTGAATTACATTACTCATTTGGTTCATACTATTGCTTTATGAACTCAGAAATAAATAAACTCTGATTAACTTAAAGTAAATGAATTAATTGATGCTTTCTTATTTATGAAATGTTGTTAGTATTATCAGTCTTTATAATTTAATGTGACCAATTCGCAATATATATTAAAGTATATTACTAGCACAAAAGTCTGTTTTATGAAGGATTAGTAAAATATTCATTACATTGTAAAATTATCACATACAAGAGTCAGGTAAACAGATATACACTTTAACGAGAACATAAGAGTTACAGACAAGATATATACGCTAAATATTATTATTGATTATGATCTGATCTTTTAGGAATATCTAAATAATATTACTAACATATTCAATCCCAAGTTTATCCAGTACTAACAATTGAAAGTATTACATAAACGGATAATCGGTATAGGGGTTGTGAAGATTATTAAGTTTTTGGTTGAAATCATGAACCCATTGATGTTAGACCACCCTTGAAAACCTTGAAGCACTGGACGGCCGTTTCGTCCTATTATAGAACTTTTCAGAAGTACGCACCCACGAACCCGCTCGCGGGACTAGCTTCGTGGGGGAATTCTCGGAGTTCTAGTTAGGAACCGTGCAATTTCGTGGATTCGTTG